CGAAAGTTTTGCAGCCACTGTGATTCATCCCAGACCTGCAGCACTATGCAGTCCCACCATTCCGTGCTTGTTTCCCAGGCCCAGAATCGCCGTTCCACAGCATCAACATGACCCATTGCTACCATGATGTTCACGGTGCAGGGTCCCGTGCTTTGTGACAGGTCTGTGCCACTCTCAGACTTCATGTCCTCACTGCGCTGCCGTAGCCTCCTCGCCCGATTTCTCAGCATCTGCCTCTGGAAAAGGTGGATGATAAGGTGCGAGGTGTTGACAACGTCCATAACTGCAGCGATGGTCGCAGCAGGCTCCATGCTCACAGTGCTGTGGCGTCCGTGCTGTCATTCACCAGAAAAGTGCGCAAATTGATTGCCCGCCGGCACTTTCAGGGAGGGAGGGCGGGAGTGACAGTTGGATGACGACAGTTACCCAAAAATACCCTCGACACATTTTTTTCCCCAGCAGGCATTGGGGGCTTGACCCAGAATTCCAATGGGCAGCGGGGACTGCGGGAACTGTGGGATAGCTGCCCACAGTGCACCGCTTCCAATGTCGACATTTGCCCCGTTAGTGTGGACTCACAAAGTTGAATTACTGTCCTTAGTGTGGATACACACGTTTGACTTTGTAATATTGATTCCACATATTCGATTTAAGTACAATCGAACTACTCTCGTAGTGTAGACATTCCCTCACACACACACACATCCCAAGAAAGAATCAAGAACATTAGCTTAAAATTAAGCAGGTGAATATGTACTAGGTCAAAGCAAAGGTCCATCATGCCCAGTATCCTGTCTTCTGAGAGTGAGCGATGCCAGGTGCCCCAGAAATATTTTCAGAATTATTAATTGTGAATTTTAGTACAGTTGAACCTCAGAGACAGAACACCTCAGTAATGGCAGTTCTTCCTAACTGAAATGTTCACAACTCTGAACAAAACGTTATGGTAGTTATTTCGAAAGTTTACAGCTGAACATTGACTTAACACAACTTTGAAATTTTACTATGCAGAAGAAAAAATCTGCTTTTAACCAATTTAATATAAATGAAAGAAGCACAGAAACAAGTTAAGTTTCCTTAACTTGTCAAATCTTTTTTTTTTTTAACTTTCTCTTTTTAAAAAAAGTAGCTTACATTTAACATAGTAACTCAGTTGAGCTGCTCTGGACTTACAATAATGCAGCAGAGTACAATTTGGCCCCAAAAATCTAGGCCTATTATTAGAAAAATGATCAAGAGGATTTTATCAAAGCTCATCAGAAAAGTTTCAAGATGAAGACAAACTAGAGGTTCCAATGTACCTCTGTTTTCACTATTTTACCAAAGTGTTAAATAAAATTCAGCTTAAATCATGTTTCTGGAAAGTTTGCTGGTTGAAAGTGTTTAATTTCAGATATTGGAAAGTCAACAGTCAACCTAAGTAAAAATGTATCCCTGACATGATGGTAATAACAGCATCGTATGAAAGAATAAATTTTTGAATGGATTAAATATGAAAAGCAAGGGCAGCATTTCTAAAATGTGTAGAAGAAATATAAAACCAAATAAATAATATTAAAATGGAAACATCATTGAATAAATAGTCTGTGATATATCTTTCGAGATTTCCGTTCATGTTTGTTTATGTTAAACCTAAGCTGTAACTGTCTGCTACTCATTCAGCTGCGTTTTCCACAAATGCATTGTCTACTCCCTGGGGGAATTCTGTGCCACTGTGCACGCGCAGAATTCATGTCCCCCTGCAGACTTTTTTTTCTCTACAGAACATAGATTCTGCTGCAAAGGTACTGCAGTTATGCCTTTCACCTGCCAGGAGCTGCTGTGGTGCCTGAAGAGAGGGCGGGCAGCCAGCGGAGAGGAAGGGGAAAGAGCAGGGCCAGGGTGAGGGGGCATGGGATGGACAGAGCAGGGCACACAGGGCTGCTGGGGGGCGGTAATAAACTGGGGTTCGGAAGGGCTAGTGGGGAGGACAGACTGGAACTAGTCGGGTGACATTGAGCCAGGGGCTGAATGGGACGGGGCTGCAGTGCCACATGGAGACAGGGGAGGGGACTTCAGGGATACACGGGGATGGTGGGTGCAGGGCCACAGAGGGACAGAGGCAGATGTGTCTGTCTGAAT